TATATATATATAATGCGACTTCCATACTGCAAAGGTCTGCCAGGTTAGGATATGATATTTAAGGAATTATACTGGCCCACATGCTCACTCGCAAGCTGCTATAGAAAAGGAGTACATCAGAAACCTCTTTGCCACCAAAATCCACAGAGCTCAGGATTTGTACCTGAAAGAGCTTCTTGTCCTCTCACCCATTCCCCCTGCAATGTGTAGGCAAACACTAGGAGAGGACAGCCACAAACAACCTCCCTTTTATTCGGGTTGCAAACTCTTCTATCTAATTTCAGCCATGTAGCACAATAGCTGAAGAAGTTTATTTGATGTTTTTTGAGGTGGTTAGCGCACAGCTTTCTGGACAGTTTGCCGTGTAGAACAGGTCGCGGCCATTTCATAGAGCTGGGGACAGAGACAGGCCCAAGGAGCCGCATAAGCACAGGTTTTAAATGTTAATTCCTTTACTGAGGCGAGTAACCTTTAAATTGTATTTTTAAATTTTAGGATATCTCAAGAGCCGTAAAACATTCAAATAAGAAATTCATTAAAATTGACAAGCCCCCTGTATGCCAGAAATTATTACAGAAAGGAAAGAGATATAGATTAGTTTGTGAGCCAGAAGCTGAAGTAACTCCAGAGGTAAGTCCTTACGCAACCCTCATTTCGTGCATTGCAGCTGGATTAGAAACGTGGTACAAAATGGCTTTTCCTGCTCTAGTGTTAAGGGCATTTTTCACATTCATTTGCCATCGCTGCAGAAAGCGTTTGCCTCTTACAGCCCTAAAATTTTGGGATGAAATCCTGACACCAAAGTCAACAGCAAAACTCTGGGGAGATTAGAGTTGGGCTCAGATCTGTGCCAACAGCCAAGTACCCTCTTTAGTTTATGTTCGGATAAATGGGTTTTTTTAACACGTTTATGTTTTGTAGGAAATTGAATTTGTTGACGGATCTCTCTTGAAACTAAAAAGTTACATTGAAGTCTATTTGGAGAAACCCGACGACTTCACCTTGTCTTTGGTTGAGCTGGAGTCCGATGCGACCGTATGGAAAGCAAAACTAAGAGAGAGTGAGTCTTTGGTCTTCCCACCGCTAGTTT